CTCAGACACGAGCTAAATCTGACAAAAACCTCCCTGTGGGGACATCTGGAGAGGTCCTCAATTGGACTAACAATATTTTATTTTTTTGAAAAATAAAAAATCTCTGTTACAGTGATGCACTTACTATTGAAATGAAGGATGCCAGTCTTAAATCTGAAATTACTGCTTCAATAGTATAGCCACAAAACATAACCAATGTGTATTAACATGATTTTAGCATGGAAAAAATGCTTAATAGCCGTTTCTGCCCAAGGATATATTCAGTTGTATCAACACCTAAAACTCTAAAATGACTATAAAAATGAATTAAAATGAAATAACACACAAAAACTAAATAGAAAAGGTAATGTAAGTGTTTTTATAAAATTATACACAATTTATATAATTTTGTATGTATAATGTGTTTACAATTATACACATTATACATCGTTTTAAGAATTTAAACATTTTTGCTTTTAAATCCACAAATCGGTCCCCATTCACTTCAATTGTAAGCATCTTTATTTTATAAGGTTTATGCTTTTTAAAATCATCAAATGAACTTTGCATATTTAGAAAAATACAGAGGTTTACTTATGAAATGTTAACATTCTGTCATTATTTACTCATCCTCATTTCTATTACAATGCCATGCCTAAAACTGTAAAATGACTATAAAATTGAATGAAAATGAAATAATGCACAAGTTCTAATAGAAAAGTTAATGCGAATGCTTTTATAATTTCAACATTTCTGCTTTTAAAGCCTCCAAAAATTGTCCACATTCACTTCTATCCATAAACTGAAAATTAGTTTTTGTGCTATAAAATGAACTTAATTTGTATTGAACCTGGAATATTCCTTTAATATAAAACGATAGGCAAGGTAATGTAAGTGTTTTTATAAAATTATACACAATTTATATAATTTTGTATGTATAATGTGTTTACAATTATACACATTATACATCGTTTTAAGAATTTAAACATTTTTGCTTTTAAATCCACAAATCGGTCCCCATTCACTTCAATTGTAAGCATCTTTATTTTATAAGGTTTATGCTTTTTAAAATCATCAAATGAACTTTGCATATTTAGAAAAATACAGAGGTTTACTTATGAAATGTTAACATGCTGTCATTATTTACTCATCCTCATTTCTATTACAATGCCATGCCTAAAACTGTAAAATGACTATAAAATTGAATGAAAATGGAATAATGCACAAGTTCTAATAGAAAAGTTAATGCGAATGCTTTTATAATTTCAACATTTCTGATTTTAAAGCCTCCAAAAATTGTCCACATTCTCTTCTATCCATAAACTGAAAATTAGTTTTTGTGCTATAAAATGAACTTAATTTGTATTGAACCTGGAATATTCCTTTAATATAAAACGATAGGTCACAATGCAGTAAAAACACAGACACCAAGGAAGGGGTTACACTCTATAACTTCACACAAACACACACTCACGTACACACAAAAACTGACATTTCAAACAAAAATTTTTTTAACATTTACAACAAAAAGTTGTTTTTGAGAATGTCTAAATATATCTCCAAGTCCACAACTTAATAAAAATAAATATGTATGTCTAAAAACAACTAAAGCCTTTTTATACAGCTATATAGGAATCTAGTGGCTAAACCATGGAATTGCAGATGTTTTTCTTTTTTTTTTATTCCCACCAGATGACACTAATCTGCCTTCAAAAATTGGATTTTAAAGGCAATGGGCCTCATTCTTGAAACACGAGCAGAATTAATGTTTGTGTAAATAGTTCGTAAAGCTGTTCTGACATAAATTTTCGGATTTATGAAAGTGTTCGTATTTTCAAAATGTTAGTTGGTACCAAAGAAATTTACACCTGCTCCCTGCCATGTGTAAATGGTGCGTAAAATGTTCTGTGTTCTTTTTGGCAAACTGATGACACTGAATTTTGATGCACTGCCATCATAATATTGTACAAGTTTTTTTGTAGCTGAGAGTTGATAAACTGTTTAGCTTTGGGTAAAATGCAGCGCTTGTCACTGGCACTTTTTACCCAGCCGTCCAATCAGTGGACAAGAGGCGGGACAAATACTACACCGACCAATCATCCTACTTGTACAACACCTGAACAACAATAGAGAAGTTAACATTGCTGGTTACTGCATTTTTATATTTAGTAATATTCTTCAAAATGTACTTCCGTGGATATTTCACATCATAGCAAATAAAATCGACAGCTGGAAAAATGCTGCGCCACCAGCTGGTCATTTTAAGAAGGGCGCCTGACATTTTTCAGCTAGCTAAAAACACTTTGAATATTTATTGTTAGGCATATGGCCTATTAGTCTTTTTGCATTTATGCAATATACTGGAGCCAAACCTGAGAAAGTAGACCAGAATATTCCACTGCGTTCCTGGACACGCAAAGGTCCGTTTTACATGCAAATTACTCAGAATTTACTCCTATATTTACAAATGTTTCCTGAATGAGGCCCATTGTCTCTATTCTAACATGAAATACTGCCATAATGGAAAAGTTGTGTAAAAATGTTATTATTTTCTATGGGTAAAAAATGTATAATTATTGCGTAAATATTAATTAGTATCATAAAATACAAAATAAACAACAAAAAATATTGAACAAAAATATATTACATTGATTTTACTGAAAAAAAGTTACATTTCAGTTGTTCGGCCACTTCTGACCACAACCAACACAAGTGTGACCCCCAATTAAACAATAAAATAATTCTCTCCATGGATTTGGTATTTATCAAAGTTTTATGGCATTTCCATTTAATACCATCACTGTACTATCATATTTTTGTAATTAATAGATAAAAATAAAATATGTAATTATAAATAATCACAGTTTCATTCGCTAATAAATTACAAACCAATCTGCAGGGACAAGCCTCCTCAGCACAACCTGAATCCCAAGCTTATTTCAACATACATTAAACCACAGATAAATACAGAATTCAAACAATTAGCCAACAAAGTGACTCATTTGCATAAATTACACAGTGCATTATGGAGGGTAAATTCTCCCATTCCAATCAATTAAGAGTCCGGAGCATCCCATAATTAGAATCCCAGACGCTAAGAGTTCCAGCATCGTCATGACGACGAGAATCCCTGCCCTTCAATAACAACTCAACCGCACTAGCTGACCCTGTGCCAGGTTACAAACACACACACTAATGGCAATAACAGACCGAGTGTGAGTGTGTGTGTGTGTGCGTGCGTGCGTGTGTGTGTGTGTGTGTGAAAGCTACCTGACCTCTAAGTCAGTCCTGACGCAGGAATGCTGCCGTACTGACTAGGAATTGGTTCTGATTACAAACCCTGCTGCTGGGGGCACTGCAATTAGACACACTTCAATTAATACGTCATGTTAAATAACTTTGTGCAGTTCAATTACTGTACACAAGGCGATGGTCCAAAGGATTCTTTATTTCATATGGTTTATGGTTTTTGCATATTTAGAAAATAAAGAGCTTTTGGTAACACTCTAACATTAACAATGTGCAATAGATGTGTTACAGTATGTATTATTTTTTGTTATTGTTAGTTAATATACAAATACAACTGTTCATTGTTAGTTCATGTTTGCTTAGGTCCATTAAATAATCATAATTTTTATTTAACTTTTATTTTGATAATGTAATAGTAAATGTTGAAATTAACAATAACTAAGATTAATAAATGCTTTAGAAGTATTTTCATTGTTAGTTCATGTTAACTAATGTTATAGCGTTCCAAACCTGTATGCTATTTCTTTTTTCACTAAACAAAAAAGGTATTTTTAAAGAATTGTCACAATAACATTTCATAGTGAACAAGGGCTTTCAAGCCTCAAAAACGTAGCATAAAAGTGGTCTTCTGGAGTCATGCATGTATAGATTTACACGAGGAGCATACCCAGATTTAAGTTGTATGGACTATTATGATACCTTTGAGGTGTTTTTCGGAGACTGACAACCATGGAAACAATGAACTACTGTTTTATCACAATGTTGTACAAGTTTGAAACAACATGAGGATAATGAGTAAATAATGACAGAATTTTCTTTTTTTTTTGGGGTGCACTGTCCCTTTAACAAAAACGTTATTGTACCATAACATATCTGATCAATTGGGGATGTGTTTAGACTGCAGTGTTGTCCATCTTACTGGTAATCTAATCTTACTGGCTTTCATTGCTTTTTTGTGTGTTTTGAGAAAGAACCTCATTCTCAAAACCATCTTCTGTCTTATAGCCCCAGGGGAGTTTTCTATCTCAGTCATTCTATTTTTCCTCTGCTTCCATTTCATTCTCTCTCTGTCCATCTCTTTCATTCCATTTATCTGTATCACGCAGCACTCCGAGGGGTTTGAGTTTGAGGACAGCACCCAGAATGTCGCTCATGTCTAACTACCGGATGCTTTGAGGCAGTTAGAAGCTCATTTTCTGGTTGTTAGCACGTTGTGCGCAGCAGGCGAGCCGACAGATAACAGCTGATGAGTGTGTAATCACAAATAATTGTCTTTCACTTCTCGTTTCCATCATCATCATCATCCTTTTAGCCCTCTTCACACCTCCATTCTCACATTGCCAATCTGCTTGTCGGTGTAAAAACAGAGACATTCTCCAAGCGTGTATACACTACTGTTCAAAAGTTTGGGGTCAGTAAGATTTCTTTTTTAAATAAATAAATCAGTACTTTTATTCAGCAAGAATGCATTAAATTGATCAAAAGTGCAAGTAAAGGCATTAATAACATACTCAAATAAATGCTACTTTCTGTTCATCGAAAAATATTGAAATAAAAAAAACACATGGTTTACAAAAAACTAGAGTAATGGCTACTAAAAAATTCAGCTTTGCATCACAGGAATAAATTACATCTCAAATTATATTAACATAGAAAACAGTTATTTTAAATTCTAATAATATTTCAAAATTTTTCCCAATATTTTTGATCAAATAATTGCAGCCTTGTTGAGCATTAAAAACGTAAAAAAAATTGCCAACCCCAAACCTTACCTGCACTATCCTGCAAGATGATCAATGATATCTTTAATTAGAAACAAAACCTAATTTATAATCACAAGAATTATAATTGGTTAGCAAAAATCACACAGTTTAAATTAGACTTATTATTCTACTTTAGCTTTTCAGAACCTCATGTATAAAGATTTGTAAGATTTCTATGCACCACAAACTGTTATAATTTGGTTTTACACAACCATTTTCTACCCTTTCTAAGACTGGAATCAAAAAAGCTTTTCTTGTGACTATAACTTCAAGATTTCCTTGTATGACCCTGTATGATTGCCTAACCTCTTTGCATGTAACAATGTCCCAACCATAACACAGATCATTAGGTGGAAACATCTGGCAACCCGTCAATTTATACAGCCGTATACTGTATGCTCAAACTGTATGTGATGTTAGATGATACTGACCTGTGATGGGAGGCCGTTGCTGATGGTGGCGTTCACTGGGTTTACGTGGCCCGGCGCAGCCACATAGCCATCCGAGTAACCAGAGAAGCCATGACGTCCAGAGGAGAGGCAGTAGGCCGAACTCCCATCCTGGGCCCCCGGTCCGCTGCCAAGCCCAGTCTGATGCACTGAGGTGGGGGGGAGAGGCTGGGGCCTGTGCACAGTGCTGGGCTGCTCCGATACTGCTGAGAGAAAGAGAAAGAGAAAGAGAAAGAGAAAGAGAAAGAGAAAGAGAAAGAGAAAGAGAAAGAGAAAGAGAAAGAGAAAGAGAAAGAGAAAGAGAAAGAGAAAGAGAAAGAGAAAGAGAAAGAGAAAGAGAAAGAGAAAGAGAAAGAGAAAGAGAAAGAGAAAGAGAAAGAGAAAGAGTCTTCAGTGTCACATGATCCTTCAGAAATCATTCTTAATATTTTGGTGGAAACCATGATATGTTTTTTTTACAAGATTCTTTGATGAATATAAAGTTCAAAAGAACAGCATTTTTTTTATTCTTTAAATTTTTTAATTTTGAACAATCATTTTTGAATTATTCGAACCCCAAACTTTTGCACAGTGACGTATTATTCTGCTTTACAGTTCTCACCTTGTGAGATAGATGAGGGAGGGTAAGGGCTGTCCGCCAGCTGATAGGGCTGAAGACTCGACATCGCAGAGGGTGGGAAACCACCAGGTATCAGGTGATTAAACGCCATGAGCTGATTGGCTCCTGCCTGCTTCCTCCAACGAGCTCTTCTATTACTGAACCAAACCTGCAGTACAAACAATATACTTAAATTTAACACTCATACACTCGGAAGAACTGTTTACTCACATGAACACATCAACAGACTGTTTTTATACACAAGGTGGTGCCCAATTTAAAACATGACACATTTCAGCATGGACTTCATATAACACCCCCCTTTATTGGGGAATCAGATTTGGGACTTTTATTATTCCTATAAGAATGTGCTTGTGTGTGTGATGTATCCGAGTGTACACAGGCGCTCTTTGTGTGTTCAGTAGCCAAAAGCTTGTTTGGTCTGATTGCGATCGAAACATCTGTGCTCATTAAAAAGCAATGACATCATGTCATGGGTTCTAGTTTAAATGGATTAGAAGGACCTAATAATAGTTTATTAAAAGATTCTGTTTTGGGGTTTTTCTCTGACAGAATACTAGAGTGAAAACAAGAGGTCAGACGTGGCACAAAGAAGCCTGTGTTTATGCGGGTGTGTCATGTGACTTCGGGGCAAGGGGTGCAGAGCTAAATGCTGGTAAATTTAGTAAACCACATTTACGTTTTTTTTTGTTTGTTTGTTTTTTAGACTTACGAGAAAGTGTGTGTAGAGTGATCATTTCCACAAAGATACAGTGGATAGAAGTGGATATGGTCACATGATTAACACAGATTTTACAGGAAGTTAAAGAGTTGGATATCAAAGGTTTGGGTGTTAATGTACCTGTACTCGTGCCTCGGTGAGTTTAGCTCTCTGAGCGAGCTCTTCTCTGGTGTAAATATCAGGGTAATGGGTGCGTTCGAAAGCTCTCTCCAGCTCCTCCAGCTGCTCGGCCGTGAACGTGGTTCGACTGCGCCGCTGTTTCCTCTTTAATGGCAAACCCGGTTCTGAGTCCACATCTGAGCCCTCGTCTGAGTGGCTTGCTATAAAGTAAACATTAAAATGAGATTATTATTAAATAAAGAATAAATCCAGAACTCTGTTTTCAGTATTGAGAGATTTTCATTTGTTTCAGCAAAGCACAAACTTTAAATGAATAGATCATGACTTGATCAAAGCTATTGTATGGCTTTAGAAGAGTTGGAATAGTGCACAAGTCATACAGACGTTTTATGATACTTTTATGGTGCTTGTTTTTGACAGTCTCCGTCCTCAATGACATTCATTGTATTAAAAAAAAATCTTCAAAAATTCACTATTTGTATTCCATGAACTGAAGAAAGTGGCCAATTTAAAAATGAAATACAAATACAAAAGCAAATTAAATTCATAAAACAAATTAAATTTAAAAAAATTAATAAATAAATAAAACTAAAGCAAATTCATTCATAAGACAACTTACATTTTTAAAATAAATAAATAATACTAAAGCAAATTAAATAAATTCATAAAACTAGGTGAAGTGATGTGACATTATATGTAAAATCTTTTTTCCTTTTGTTCCTCTTTCACAAACAGAAAGTCATTTGGACTTCCCAACTAATATGCAGGTGTATTTCTCCTGCAGAGAAAGAGTGCAAGCAAGAGAAAGAGTGAAGAAGAAAGAGAGATTTTGAGATTTAATTAAAAGTGAAGAGTCATGCAAAGCAAACCCTACATTCTCATCTCCACCCTGGAGTCACACAGGAAATGCTGCCGCCCGGTGCCAGCGTGCATCTCTCCGAGCATCTCACGAGAGTTGGAAAGGAAAGAGAGAGACCACATGAATTGTCCTTTGATATTCTACATATATCTCATCTAATATGGTTTTACAGTTGATATGTAAAATCTTTTTTCCTTTTGTTCCTCTTTCACAAACAGAAAGTCATTTGGACTTCCCAACTAATATGCAGGTGTATTTCTCCTGTAGAGAAAGAGTGCAAGCAAGAGAAAGAGTGAAGAAGAAAGAGAGATTTTGAGATTTAATTAAAAGTGAAGAGTCATGCAAAGCAAACCCTTCATTCTCATCTCCACCCTGGAGTCACACAGGAAATGCTGCCGCCCGGTGCCAGCGTGCATCTCTCTGAGCATCTCACGAGAGTTGGAAAGGAAAGAGAGAGACAGGAAGGGAGGGTGACTGTTCTTTTACCATTCTCTAACCCTACAGAAAATCTCTTTTCATGCTATTTTCCCCAAAAGTCTGGACTATTTCAGTAGACAGCACCTAGAATGAACAGCCAGTTATTGAGGATATGGCATCCATCATTTTCTTCATAAAGAAAGCCCTCAGAGAACTGACTTGCAAATTAAAATAAGCACATAAAAACATGTTATTCTCCCAAAACTAACATCCAGAAATCAAACCATCAAACCAAGTCCTGTAAGAAAAAGAGAAGGCAAGAGAGTTTCCAAATCGATTATGATTTGGGTAAGTAAAACATCTCACTTTTCATTTTTTTCTTCTCATAATTCCCTTGAGTTTATATCATTACCGCTGCAACAATGTCAAATAAAATAAAATAAAAAAAACTAAATACAATAAAAATAAAAATAAATAAGTAAATAAAATACAAATAAAAAAAGAAAACAAGTAAATAAGCCAGAGCTTCTATCATTATCACTGCAAAAAATTCAAATGATACAAATAAAATAAAAGTAAATAAAATAAAAAGTATTTAAAAAACAGTTAAATGCTTCAAATAAAATAAAAAGTAAATAAGTTGTAAATAAAGTAAATAAATTAAAATAAATAAGTCAGCCTTTCCATAAATTTCTTGAGTTTCTACCACTGCAAAAAAAAGTCAAATAATACAAATAAAATAAAATATTAAAACAAATAATATAAAAATAATTTAAATAATATAAAAAAGTAAATACAATAAAAAAAATTGTAAATAAATAAAAAAAGCCATCATGTATTGGCTGCAAAAAAAAAAGCCAAACAATACAAAAAAAAGTAAATAAATAAAATTAAAAAATAAGATAAAATTAAATAAAAAGGTGTAAATAGGTAAGTCAGTCTTTCCCATAACTGCTTGGAGTTTCTATCATTGCTGCAAAAAAAGTCAAACGCTACAGACTGTAATCTGTAAATGACACTGTTGCATTTGGCTCTTTCTCTCTCGCGCGCTACCTCTCTCTCTCTCTCACTCCATCTCTTTTGGGGAGTTATTTGGCAGTCTTTTGTTGGCCTGTTTAGTGAGAATGGTGACTGAGCTCTTTGGAGTCTGATTTCCACGCTCCATCTGTAGGTTCCATGAGCTCGGTCCGGGCAGCATTGAGGCCCCTGTCACCTGCCTGGCAGGGGGCGGGGGGGAGGTGGGCACAATGAGGGCTGGACGCAGGGCAATGGGGGCTCCGCAGGGGAACAGCGGGGGGCCGCCCCCGAACCCTTCCTCCTCCACGGCCAGGGGGTTACAGAGGTGGAGGTGGTGGGGGGGTGACGGGGAAAGAGCGATACGGAGAGAGTTAGGGGAAAAAAGAAGAAGAAGAGGGGGCCGATCGCTCAATGGCACCTGGGGGACTAGTTTAGTGACTAGTGAGGAGTGTGTGGGAATAGCGATTCTAGTTTAAGATGATTGTCAGTCCCGGTCTCGTCCATCATGTCCATTTACAGCATTGACGTACGCTAAGCAGGCACTTCTCTCTCAAATTTAACATTTCAGGATTTTCCTGGGATTTTTAACTTCACTGACATAGGATTTCAACAAACAGCATCAAATCGGACTTGAGACTCATTAAACATCATAAACTAGATTCATCCTGAGAATCAGATCAGACAAAAATTGCTCCCATATTTCCCATAAAAAACAGGATTTTAATATTTCTTAAAATTTCAAAGCATTAAAAAACTGAAAAAGCATGTAATTTCATCTGAAGAACCAAAAGCTTGAAATCTCCCATAGGGAGAGCAGTAAATGTCAATAAATATACAGTATATATTTTTAAATAGGGTTGGGTACCGAAACCCGGTACCAATATGGCACTGGTACCTATGTAACCGGTATGTACTAGAACTGAATCAGAACGCAGATTTCTGTGCCTCATTTCGGTGCCATGCCTGAGCGATCGATTGAAATATTTGTCCTCTGGTTCCCCCTGAAATGGATGTAAGAAGCATCATCACTGGCACCGCACGTGAAAAATTATTTCCCGACTGAGAAAATGCATGTGAACTCAAGTCAGAAAGCTCTAATAACAAATCTAACAAATCTTTGTAGTAACGAGTGTCCATGTTGTTTTCACATTCCAACTTAAAAGCACAACTCGGGAAATGAGCATCCGAGGAGTGTGTGTATGCAGCAATTACACTTGCTCTGATGACAGCGGGTAGCCTTCCGTTAACTAAGCTAAACATGCTTAAATTGCAATGCCTAAAGCTAAACTTCCCGTGTATTGACATTTCTAAACTTGTTGTCCAACAAAAGAGAACATTATAACCTTTTTACTCCACAACACCAGTCAAATGCTTCCTTTTGTGATCTGATGTGGCTTCTTGTCACAGAATGAGGCACAAAATATGTTCCATAGGCTACTTTAAAAAGAATACATTGATTAGCAATGGATTATAAATATACTTAATAATTATGAAAATACCAGAGATAGCTTGAATAACACAGATAAACTATATTGTCGCAGTCGAGTGTTTATTGTCTTTGTTTTATCATTCAAAATGTTTATATGTTCTGTTTACTCAGTTACAGCTATAATAGTGATGTCTTTGTCCATATTAGGGATTTCCTGGAGGGTCATGAGTTCAGCTACTTCTGTGACTGGATATGTGGATTTTCTGTGCGAGTGTGCCCTCTGGCGTTCAGTATGAATGAAACAGACATCATGTGTTTATAGTACTAATGGCCAATCCATCATTTTTGGGGGAATGTGTCTTTCTTTATTTTTTTAATAAGTATCGGTTCAGGCACCGGAACCGTTTTAAAAGTATCGATTTGGCACCGGTATCGAAAAAACCCCAAACGATACCCAACCCTATTTTTAATGTGGAAATGTGTGAAAACACTTTTTAAATGGTTTTAAATGTCACTGAGAAAGTTTGAATTTTGCATGAAAACTTGCACAGAAAAAAATGTATAGAATCTTCCAAATAATCAAAAGCCTAAAGTCTTGCACAGGGAAATAAATAAATGTCAAAAAAATCTAGTCTGGAATTGTGTGAAAACACTATTTCAATTATGTTTTAACTTCTCGAATCAATCAGGGGTTTTCAATAAAAAAAAGTTCTTATGAGCTGAAAACATCCCATGCTGTTAAACAGCAAGACCGACAGACTCTCTAAAAGATTCCGAGAGTTGCTGTCCATCAGAATTTCAGCAGGACAGGAACCTCATACTGTGGTTACTTCCCACAGCATACCTGTTCCAATACACCACCAACCGCTAAACCTATCTGTCTTCTCTCCCTCACGCTCATCTACTCTGCATCTCTTTGACTTTTGACAGAGGTTTTGTCTTTCATCAGCAGAATTGTAATTAAAAGGGACAATTGAAAATCTAGCTACAGGGAATGATATGATGCACCAAGAAAAGGAGAAAGAGAAAAAGACTGAGGAAGCAAGATGGGTAACGTGGACCACATCATCTGCATAACGCTAACAGTAAAGATATTATCCAACAGAATTACATTTTACAACAAGTATGAAACAACAAATATAAGCACTATGAGTGAAAACATTTGCTCTGACAAAATCAATTCTGAAATGTCATTTTAAAAAAGCATAATAAAACCTGAAATTACACGCTAAAAAATGCTGGGTTGTTTCAACCCAACTTTGGGTCAAACATGGACTAACCCAACTTTTGGGTTAAAAATGTAATTACAAATTTTAACCCAATAGTTGGGTTAGTCCATATTTGACCCTAAGTTGGGTTGAAACAACCCATCTTTTTTTTTTTCAACCCTTAAACAACCCAGTGTACTGTCATGATTTGGTTTGAATTTTCTGGTATGATTCATAATTACTTTAAAAAAAAAAAGAAAAGTGTAACTG